AGCTCATTTTTATATATTTAAACAAAACGCCCTGTACCTTTAAAACAAGCAATAACTTGTCTAACTGATTTGGGATAAGTCAACATATTTAGAATTGTGCAGTTAAAATATGTGCATAGATTAGTGACACACTCAGTATATTTATAATGTATATGTCAGTATTTTACCATTAAAAAAAATTTTTACTTTAAACTAAATATTAAACAAGCAAACACTCAATGGGATGAAAACACGCGAAGAAAGTTGATTTTATCATCAATAATTTGAATATTTTCACGATTATCTGTGATCTTTTGTGATTTTTTGACATTATGTTGGCTACCTTTCCTCTTTAATATCTTCAATGTTTAAGCAAATATTTTTACAAACTTTATGTTTCCGTTTTGAATAGGAAAATAAAATATAAGTATAGGAAAGAAAGCTACCCTAGCTGATCGCATGATAAGCATTCTGACCAGACGTTCACATGCCACTTTACAGCAGTTTTTTGCAGTATACACTAGGATTTTAACTGTTAAATATTAAAATGCAAAAAAGTCTTAAAAGATAATATAAATAAGTCAGGGAGAGCTGTCTGAACCTTTTAAAACAAATAACGGGCTGCATCAGAGAAACGGGCTTTTTTTTTAACCTTAAGTATTTTATTTTAGGTACAAAGATCCAGATTCAGACTTAAAAACAATTCATGCGTCCTTACTCACACGATAATAAAACATACCAATGCCAAAATGTTAAAACATCAGATATAAGAATATAATAAGTCAGCTGATAGTGTACCAGAAAAAAGCATTCAAGATGTGAAACTTTACCATGTGATAAGCGTTTCCGTCGCTTTTTTTCTTCTTCCTAAGAAGAAGAAATCTTTGTAAAAGTGGTGTACATAGTGAAAGGGAAAAAGCTATTTTAAAGAAACCTCAATAAAGAAATAAAACGAAGATGTAAGGCCGACAAAAAATACTACTATCAAAGTATATGCAAAGAAATTGAGAGACATGGTCAGAATAATCAGCCGAGAGATCTATTTAGAAAAATACGCTACCTGACAAGAGACTTCAGGGCCAGAACTTGGGCCATTGAAGATAAGACTGGAACCCTGAGAACAAACAGAAAAGACATAGCAGAGACATGGAGATCGTATTGCTGGGACCTATATAAAGATAATCAACGCCAAGAGCTTGCTAGCCAAATCTCTGACGAGGTGGAAGAAGAACCTGATATACTCGAAAATGAAGTAAGACAGGCTATCAACAAGCTCAAATATAACAAAGCACCAGGTCCAGATATGATAACAGCAGAAATACTTAAAGCCACAGAAGAAACCGGCGTAAAGTTATTTCATCTACTCTGTAACCAAATATGGCATTCCAAACAATGGCCTGAAGACTGGACAAAATCTACAATAACGACCATACATAAAAAAGGCAGCTTTCATAAATGCGACAATTATAGAACTATCTCTCTTATATCCCATGCCAGCAAGAAAATGCTACATATAATCAATGAGAGACTGAAAACATTCCTTCAAAGAGAAATTCCACAAGAGCAAACTGGATTTAACAAAGGTAGAGCCGTACCACAACATCTAATTACGCTTATAACTGAACTATATGAACGCACTACTGGATCAGTTAAAGTACTTGACACACTTTCGAACGAGTTTCATCCAGAACGGGGTGTCAGACAAGGATGTATACTATCTCTACAATTATTCAACATATATGGAGAGTATATTATGCGAAGAGCACTTTAAGGATGGGAAAAGGGCATCTCAATAAATGGTCATAAACTAAACAACCTACGTTTCGCAGATGATACAGCCCTTCTTGCAAATAGTAAAGCAGAGCTGATGGAACTTATACGACTGATCGAAAACGAAAGTCAAATATTTGGTCTGCAATTAAACATATCAAAGACAAAGATCATAATAGTGGATAGACTACACAACAATCATCCACACATAACCACAATTGACCGGTTCGAGGTTGTGAGCTCATACTTATATCTGGGATCATTAATCACAAACACAGGGTCATTACAAGAAGAGATTAAACGTAGATGTGATCTAGCAAAAGTTGCCACACCAAAAATGACCATAATGGAAGGAATGTCAAATTTCAAGAGCGATAAAGATGAGGTTGATCAACTGCTTAATATTCCCAATACCGACCTACGGATGTGAATCTTGGAATCTTGGAATCCGAGGCGGGGATTCACTCTCCGCCTCTCGACGCGTTAGTGTTCAGAGCTGTTGGACGTGAATCCCTATCCTGGCATTTGGTTTTCACCTCTGGCTGCGTTGAGTAGTTGAGTTACTGTGACCAAATGCCCATCTTGGTAGTTAGTATTCGCCTCTGGTTGCGTTGAGTAACTAAGTTACCGTTGCTAACTACCCATCTTCCTGTCTTTTGATTTCTTTTTTCTTTGTTCTCCTGAAGAAGCTACATACAATTGTAGCGAAACGTCGAGATGAACCCACTTTTGGGTCACTCACAAATGACACGGTCCAAACCCGGAAGACGAATAAACTATAAAGGAACCAGTGCTGTTCAGTGAAAATTTATCTGGTGTGCATAGACAAATTAACCCGGTTTAATTTATTTACGGCAACTACAGATATACTATTATGCACTATTTTATTCGTACTTTTAGTTGAAGAATAGATTAAATTATTTCAAATGTAATAAATTATCAATTTCTGAAAATTTAAATTACAGTTCTGTCATAGCATTGTTTATTATTCTGTGGTATTGTAGATCGAACATTGGCTATTCAGTATTTGATTTATTTGACAAGTCCGTTGAGTATTCGACTACTTTATTGAGTGCTTCCGTTTTTGCAGTATAAACATTAAACTCTTCTATCTTTAATGTAAGCACCACTATTTATTCGGTTAGATTGAGTACTGTAAAAGCATGCAGTATATTGCCATGTGAACGAGGCGTAAGCAGATTTAAAAATGGCAAAACAACAATTTAAATAATTGTCAACATAGCGGAGTTTCCAAATGTGGATTATAGCACAATTCATCGGTTAGGTATAGAATAAAAGATCTCAGATTTATTGTATCATTCTTGGAAATAAATAAATAAGCCGATGAGCTAACGTGTATTATCTAAATCGAGAAAATATTTCTCCTTCCCTAAATCTTGTCACTGACTACACATAAATAGAAATACATCGGTTGGAATTCTTTATTTGAGAGAGGTTCTTTATCAAACACGTCTATACATTTTAAAAATATATATAAAAAATGAGTTGTATGTGTTTTATTAACACGAATTGTCAAGGTTAATAAAATACACTCAGTTTATTAAAATCTTAACCATTCAATATATTAGCAAAATGACCCTAAAACCTAAACCACACCAATAATTCTTGAACCATCAAATATCTACCTACCAACTACTAATTTTATGAATGATATTATTATTATTATTAATACGATAAATGTCGTTTTAATTAGTGTAAGTGTTTTGTTTCTCTTAGCTTCATACAAAAATTAACTTGGGCCCCTCGTTCTCCATTATTTATATCATAATAAAAATATCTAAGACTGAACACTGATTGCACTTCAACGCGAAATACTTCTTTTCTTTTAATAAATTTACAATGCTTGATATGAATTGAAGACTTTGATAATGATAACAATTTCATATATTTAAAATTAGAAATAAACGTACAATAATTCACTATTTTTACCGGGAATAAACCACATATTTACTTTGACATAAGTTTTGATTAATATTTCAGAAATCGTTCTTCAAAGACAAAATGCAAAGTCAGATAACTAAGATGGTACAGCCAAAATCACAACTAGGAGATACCAGACAGTATTGTTGTTGTCTGTTTGTGTTTAAATGACTACCAGATAGTAGAAGAACAGACGAATTCCCATCAAAACACCATATTATCACAAAAAACAACAAAATCCTTGAGAATGGCAACATAACTAAAGAACTTATGAATATGGTGGAGGCTATATGAGGCGATCCAATCTTTGGCGGAAAAGCAATGAGAATCAGAAAAACTGCAGAGGAAACGGAATAAAGGTATAATTATCCCAATTCATAAAAAACGTGGTAGAGCAATGAGCAAGAATTACAGAGATATAACGCAGCTAAACATAGCATACAAGATGCTATCAAATATATTGAGAGATAGAATAACCCTTTATGTAAAAGAGAATCTAGAGGCTACCTGGACGGATTTTGGCCACGAAAATCAACAGGAAATCGAATAAACAGTGTTGGCAGTAGCAGTAGCAAGACAATTATTTGACGTGTCAAAAGATTGTCAAGCCTTGTCGGATATTTCTGATATGACACGTGAAGAAAAAAAAAGAGTGGCCCGTCAATACTAGAGAACTATATGAAAGCGGTTTTAGAATGGTCTAAGAAGCTAAAACCACAGATCTGGATGAATAACTTATGATGGTGATGGGTGAAGTAAACATAAAGAAGTTAAGTGAACAGTTTAACGTCCTCTTGGATGCAGAGGAATGGCTGTTGTCAACATTTGTAGCACTGCCAAAGAAACTGTTAGCGAAAACGTGTGAAGAGTTTCGGACCATCAGCCTTATGACCAACGTTGTTATATTTAAGTACTTGAGAATTTTTTTAAATCATACATGTCAGAATTACAAAAATTTTCACTGAACGCCTCGTGAATCTAGAGATGGAAATCCGAATTAACGGAGAGTACATCAACACTTTCCGCTACGTCGACGACACTGTGCTACTAGCAATCTGCCTAAATGATGTACATACTTTATAAATAAATATAAAAAACTCATATAAAAGCGAAATAAAAAGATACCATAATAATTAACAATATATAAAAACATCAATACTCAAAGTAGGCAATCAATGTTCGTTTGGGTATTTGTAATATGTTGCCTTATTCAGACAAACATTGTAAATTTATAACTGCATATAATAATATATGTATAAATCAGTCACATTTCAATAGTTAGATATGTATATTAATAATAGGTTTGTTTTTTATACCGGCGTTTTAGGTAGTTTTCGCCTTGTCGGTGAAGATGGTGCCTTGTCATTATCGGGTTCTGAAACAACAAACACAATTATTACTTCTTAAATACGAATTAAATTTATTAGAAAGTTATTTACAATAAATAAATTCAGACTACACATTGCATATGTCGGAAAATTCTCGGTATTTTTATATCCCTGTGTCGGTATATACCATTTTTCAAAGTAAAACACTTGCACGTCACGATTTATACAAAGTAACGTCACTTGTATTTAAAATTTCCAGAACATCAACCTTATAGTTCAAATTTTCCTAACATATCTAATAATACGAAGCCCATACGTAACTGCTCGATCTTTCATAGGCGTCAACATGGTGTAATAATCAAAAAAATATAATCATCATATTGGAAATTTTAGAATTATTTTCATTAAATAACCTAAAGTTACAAAATAATATGAATTTAGTTCACTTAATGGTCAATATAATATAATATGAGGCGATACATTGAGAATTAGTTTTTCAAATTGGAAATAATGCTCGAGAAAATATTTTCGAACAAGCAATTGTATAGATATAGTATTTGTTAACAGATTCTTTTCAAAAAAAAAAAGTCAGTTCTTCACCTACATAAGAAGAAAAATTCATTCTCAAATAGACTATTTTTTTACAAAAAAGGTATATACTCTTTGATAAGTGTTTTTTATACAGTCTCCATACGCTGATAGTGTTTTATTTTAGTGTAAGTTTTAGGTTTTGTATAGTATATTATCGTCATATCCGCTAAATGTCATAGTATGCACTCTTTCATTTTACTTTAAATAAATTATTTCACGTTTTGGTTTTTCGTTTTTCTTCACTCAAACTTTTAGAGTCCTAAGTATAAAAGCAAGACAAGATAGAACCGACTGAAAAATAAGCAACCAATATTAAATTTTTTCCAATCTTGCAAGTGATTTTACTTGACCTGGAAGATATAGGCGTGGGTTTAATGGATTCCAATATATCTGTACTTAACTTACCTATATGCAACGCGGAAATATTTGCCTCGGAAGGCTTCCGTCCCGTGATAACCGTAGTTGGTGGCGGAATCGGATCATCCAGTAGGTCGCACATTCTCAGATCAGTGGCGTGCTCGACCAACAATTCAACAGTGTCTCCTGTTCGATCCATAATAGCGCAAACCTCTTCGAAAGAACGGTCAATTAATGAGACTCCTCCCCATTCCAATACCTAATAAACAAAATACAGAAATATTATATGTTCTAGAAAAATTATAGAATTTTTTTTTGTGAAGATTGGTGAAAACAATAGCAAATATTATTTCCATTAACAGTTGTAAGAAGCATTAAATCTGTTTTTGATGATATTAAATCATACATTATCATTGTACATTAAAAAGTATATATATATATATATATATATATATATATATATATATATTTTTTAACAAAAATAAATACAAATATCAAAAATGTCAAAAAGACCATATATATATAATTATGCATGTGACAACTGTCCAGACATCAACATGTCTGGACATGGACATGCGCTTATAATAATGCACGTGACTTGTGGATGAGATTAAATTCCGGTATTAGAATCAGTGAATACGAGATTGCTGGCTTAGTTGAGTTTCTCGAATGGAAATCGCAGTTAGTGGCTTTCGTTGCACAGGCATACACCCCTTTGATAAAAATGTCTTTAAATATTTGGACTTTATTTGTTCTAACATAACCAACATTACAGAACAACAATCAACGTCAGAATCATTGCCTTCATCTTCCCAACTGCTAGAAGCAACACCTTCAACATCAGAAACGTTGCCTTCATCTTCCCAACTGCTAGAAGCAACACCTTCAACATCAGAAACGTTGCCTTCATCTTCCCAACTGCTAGAACCAACATCTACTACTCCTGCTCCTGATCTCGTAGCCCATATTACAAATTCTCTGCATTCCGACAACCAAACTACTCTTGCTAATGGAGAATCACAAATTGCTTTTTTGCAGCAATTATAATCTCAAGATGAAGCTACAATTGACCTATCCACAGACAATTTTAACGCTGCACTTACAGAATTCACCGGTTCCTGATGCTTCTAAAAGAAGAGCAACTGCCCGGCGTCGTAAAGCTGAAAAAAGCGAAATTATAACTGGTTCTTTATAGAAAGAAATGCTGGAAGAGAAAAAAGCAGGCAAAACAAGCGTCGAATCACTTAAACGAGGGAAGAATTTACTTGTGGAAAATGACGTTAACAAAAAAAATAAGGTCTCTTGGATACAGTGTGGAAACTGTAATATTTGGGTTCATGAGGCTTGTGCGAACATATCAGAGCTATCCAAACAATATATTTGTGATTTCTGTATTGTTTAATTGGTAATATATTTACTGGCCGGTACTGGAGGCCAATTTTATAAAGTTTGATTTTTCCTTATCTTTAATTTTCATTAATAAAGTGATTATTTTGAAACATTATGATTGTTTATTACTTCCAATGACAGCATAATAGTCCTTTCATACATGACAGGAAGTATTAAACATGTACCTTTTAGCATTTTGATTTTTTTGTTGATAAACCTTAAGGTGACGGTACTGTAGGACTCTCCCCTATCGTGTATTCGTATGATCAGCTATTCAAATGGTTCTTTCTTCTTCCAGTTCCATGACCGTTATCGATCGTTGATATCATGTTGGCATTCAAATGGATGCGTTGTGTTATTCAATATATGTTAATATTTTAGTTGGTAAATAGTAGATTTAAATTTAATATTTTAATTGCGAAAAATATAATAATATATACTACAGGCTAGATGACACATTTTTAGGGAGTCATTTGACACAACATGAATCACATATAAATCACTTACACAATACGTAATAAAAACTTTGTAAACTATGCCGCCAATTCTTATCGACACTCAAAGCAAGCAATTTAATTTAACCCAGCCTGTGAGACTTTTATACCTCGTAACCTTCCAGTGGTCGCTGCCTTTGTACCAACAAGAATGGTCGCGCGTATTTCCTAGATACGCTAAATGCTAATTAGTTATTTTAAGATGTAGGTAATCAAATATTGTAATATTAATACAAAATATATTCGGTGGAAGATTAATACACTCTATTATTGAATTTCTACCTTCCGTTACTTGCGCACGGTGTATGAGACCAGCGCTGTAAATAATTTCAAGTAACTCTGATTGTAGTGGGGATTTGGAATTGCTGCTTCATGTACCTCTTCAGTTGTCGGTCACTTATCGTTGAAATCTGTGTGTAGTGTAAAAAAGAGCATTATAATTTTATTATTAGGCAACACGGTCCGGTACACCGGGTGCAGTATTGTGGACACATTTTTGTGCTTTGGATCAGACATTGAAAGTTTTTCTCTGCAAGGTGATTTAAGTTCTTTTTATTATTTTCAATGTTTATATATTTGTATATTTATAGATATATGAATATGGATTACGAGAAGGAGAAAAAGAGATTATTAAAATTATTTGAGGAAGTATCAACTGACGAGGAAACGTCAAATGAAGATGATGATCAACAAAATGAAATTGACCATGTAGAAGAACGATCTGAATGTAGTGATACTGAACAGGAATTTGAAGCCGATCAAACAGAGGAAGAAAATGTTAGTTTCAGAAGGGAGCCGTACTTTATGGGTAAAGATAAATTAACAAAGTGGAAAAAACATTGTCCACCGAAGAATGTAAAAACACGCAGGACCAATATATTTGTACGATTGCCAGCTATAAAACAATTTGTTAAAACTCACTCAACACCTATTGACATCTGGAATTGCATTTTTGATGAAGAAATGCTAAATCTAGTTGTTGACTGTACAAATATAAAAATTCAGAATGTTACAGATGACTACAGTAGACAAAGAGATGCGAAACCTACCGACATTGTCGAAATCAAAGCCCTAATTGGTCTCCTTTATCTTGCTGGTATTAGAAAAGCAAATCACATGAATTTAAAGGATCTCTGGAGAACAGATGGCACTGACATTGAAACTTTTCGACTTGTAATGAGTAAGCCTCGATTTCAATTTCTTTTGCAATGTCTGCGATTTGATAACAGTCACACGAGACATGAAAGAATACAGGTAGATAAACTGGCTCCAATACGAACATTGTTAGAAAAATTTAACAGCAACTTTTACAAAATTTAAAAAATGCTTCTCATTCTGGTTATGTTACCATAGATGAGAAACTGAAGCTTTTAGAGGAAATTGTAGTTTCAGACAATATATTCCTAGCAAGCCGAATAAATATGATACAAAAATTTTTGCCATTTCCGATGCAAAACAATTCTATACCAGCCACTTAGAAGTTTACATCGGAAAACAACCAAATGGCCCTTTTCAAGTTAGTACAGCGACGCAAGACGTAGTAGAAAGACTTTGTGCACACATTTATGGGAGTAATAGGAATGTTACTGTAGATAATTGGTTTTGTAGTGTGCCTCTAGCTGATAGCCTTAAATCAAAAAAGTTAACTTTAGTGGGTAATATTCAAATAAATAAAAAACAGTTGCCATTAGAATTTATACAAAATAACGGCAGGTGCATTGGCTTTTCAATGTTTGGATTTAATGACGGAATCGCCTTGGTTTCGCAGATGCCAAAAAAAAAAATCGAAACGTCCTACTTATCTCTACAATGCACCATGGAGATGATATTGACCCTACCACAGGTAAACCTGAGATGATAATTACATTTATAATGAAACGAAGAGCGGAGTAGATGTGGTCGATAAATTATGCGCGCAATATAATTGCGCCCGTGCCACAAGACGATGGCACATGGTTCCTTTTTTTAGTTTGTTGAATGTAGCAGGAATAAACTCTTTTGTAGTTTATACTAGTCTAGATGAAGAATCTAAAACATCACGTAAAGAATTTTTACTAAAACTCTCGATGTTACTAACCAGTGACTACCAAAAAGTACTGGCTATGTCTACCAGTTTACCCAGAACCATCAGAATGAGGCTTAGGGAGATATGTGGCTTACCAGCGGAACAAGTACCAGTCATAACACCTGGAACTCAAGGTCGCTGTGCTGTTTGTCATTGGCGGAAAAAAAAAAAAACAAAATATTACTGCCAAATATGCACAAAATATCTGTGTTTGGAACATGTTACATCATTGTGTAATTCATGTTATGAAAATTTTAATTAATATTTCTTATTTTTTTTTGTTGCAATTACTCTTCATTTTGATTTTTTTGTGTATTGAATTAATTTCTTGAAGTTCCTAGTAAACAAATTTAACAACATTCAATGTATTTTTTTAATTTTTAAAGTTTTTTGTATATATAAATGGATAACAATGAAAATTAGTTAACTTTTCATTAAACTAATATAATGTTGAAACAAACGCATATCTACAAAATTATATGATCATATATTCATTAAATAATATAATTGTACACAATTTTCAAAAAAAGAAAATTAAAAAATATTACTGACCCCATTTTTTCGGATCCGGTCTTCTGCACCGTGCGCGAGTATTTGATCACAGAAAATTGGCGTAAGTAACGGAAGGTTAAAAACAACAACGGTGTCATAAATCCCATATGTCTCCTATATATTGTATATTACACATATTATTGTATCGCAGTTTTGCAGACTTGACAAATATGCTTTGAATGTTCCATACAGATGAATCTCTGACAAATTTCATATCTGAAGCGCGTGATCCTTAAACGTTTATCATTTTGACAAGGCTTACATCTTCTTTTACTTGCTGTGGCCTCTTTTACTGTCTCGATACCTAATTTTGCTTTTCTTTTTGAAATTTTTTCTTTGAGCTCATTTAAAAGGAAGTATCGTGTTCTTCGTTCGACGTATCCTTTCACAAAAGCATTTGAAAGTAGTTGAAGATATTTTCTTCTAAGTATTTTTTCGTTATTATTGGTGGAATAGATTATATAACTATTGATCACGGCTACATTTAACATGGAAAAAAATACTACCATCGGCCATCTTCTGGTATTCCTAGCAACATTGAAAGAATCACAATGTATGTCTACTGTATCTACACCTCACTTTGCCTTGTTATAGAATGTTATAATTACGGGTTTCTTTTGGTTATCTGATTCTGCGTCGATTGCTACGTCATCATGTGGGCTTGAAACTAATATTACAAAGGCAATTTTTTTCTCATTAAGATCTTTTATTCAAATCAAAATCAGAAAACCAGTTGTCAGTGGTCAGTGTTCTATTCGTATTAAATATAGGTGTTGCCAACCTTTTTACCACGTCTCATGGTTTGACACTTATAGAGAATGGACCATCTGGTTGAGTCCCTGCATAAATTTCTATGTTATAAGTGTAAAAGATGCGAGCGTCAGCCATGGCATAAATTTTGATCCCATATTTATTGGGTTTTTTGGGGAAGTATTGAATAAGGGAGCATCTTCCACAAAATGCCTTTAGTTTCTAGTTAGGTGTAACATTTTTCGCAAGGACGTAGCATTTTTGGCACTTAGACACAAACTCCTCAAAAATATTTCTTATTGGGACCAAACGATCCATTCTTTTACGTTTATAATAGAAATCTTCTTCAACTCATCACTGTTTTGAAATCATCCATTCTTCATAGTTCTTCAAGGTTAACTTGATTACCATGGTAAATACCCACCAAATAAAGCAAGCCCAATAGAGCTGTTATTTCTAGTTTGTCTGTATCCCTGACATCTGTTGGACGACAATAATTAGATCTTACAGAACTTATCTATTTATTTGTGAAGTTCACGATGCTCTCAATCATAGAATCAGTTTTGAGGCACTTAATATCAACGATGTCTGTGAAATTCTTATCTGGTCCAATGACCCCAGGGAGACGGAGTAATATATTGCGAGGTGGTCGCTTACTTTTTTTGCTTGGAGTTTTTTTACCAAATCCATGAGTCAACAACTCTTCCATTTTTCTTTAGATGAGCTATATATGCCTCGTTGGAACTGTCAGCTTCGTCTTCGGCATTACTTCCATCACTCAATTCTGACTCAAAATCGTCATCACGTTCAGAAACATTTTTGTCTTCGTCTGTATCGCTATTATCCATACGTATATCGTCGTCCGACTCAGCAAACGTCAAATTTGTAACAGCTTCTATATCAGTGGGAT